AGGACTAGAGAGAATTCCAAATTTTATATTATGTTCAACTTTACACAATGCCTAAAAAGTTCAATGCAGAAACACATTTAAAACCCTGCCCTGATCTTTTTCAGTGAAAATGCATTTGTATGCAAATTATACCGTACAGTGTACACCTGAAAGTGTATTGCTTTGCATTTTTCCTGAGCCCTAGCAAAATAGTTAAAGGACGTCTGAAGGATGTTTGATTTGAAAATGCTTTTGAATAAGAATGTAAAATAAATTTAAAAACAATTTCTGCATGCCTGCCACAAGATTGGTGTCTGGTATAAAACTGGCTCAATATTCAAAGGCATTGTTTTCACTGACCTTATTATTGTATATGATGGCCCATGGCAGAATTTGTTCTGTGTGCACAAGGCAATGGGGAGTGTATATATTGTTAACAACCTTTGGCACAAAGTGGCTTTTTCTTATCTGGTCAGAAATGGAGAGATCAGAGGCAAAAGTGAGTGTGGAAGCCAGGAGCAATCACTTGCCTTAGAAACTAAGTACGTGATATAAATCTTTTTTTCAGCCATTGCCTAAGTGTATAATTTGGAGTAAGCTTTAATCATCTCTAGAATTTGATTTCCTTACTCATATATGTATAAAGTATTCAGAATTATTATTGATATGTTAAATAACACAATCTAAACTTTTAACGTGATCTTTTCAATCAAATATTTATTTCAATCAAATTCAAGGGTAAGTTCCCCATCTCTAGACTAAATCTGATAAAGATGTGGCTAAAATTACTTGCATTATTCAGTGTAATCTCTAGGAAATAACAAGAAGAGAGAAATGCTGATATACTTTAAATTCTCCTGTCTCTTTAAAAGAAAAGGAACACACCTGTAAAATGTGAAGGCCAAACCATAAGCTGAGCAGCTACTAATCTCTATCTGGATTATGTACTGATACTATGTTTTAAAAAATCGATATTTTTTAACATATTTCCCCATTTTCTTATGTGGATTTTTAAATAATTTTTACATAATTGAGCAAAGAAATTGGCAGTCATGGGTATTTCTGTTGATCTTGGTATCTGTGGCCTGTCAAATTTTATTTTTGATAAAAACAAACAAAGAAAATGAAAATGTTATTAATATATTATTATTATTATATCAAATTCAAACTGGGGAAAATAGGCTTTTTTAGATACATATTGAAAACATAAAACAAGTATACCTATTTGGCCTTCAATCTCCAGGTTTTCTCATATTCATAAAGATCTCACATGAGATTAATGATGATTTTTATATTTAAAAAATTATTTAAACAATAATTTTTAAATTCCATTGATAGCCTGAAAAGCATCACTTTAGAGAGTGGCCATAAATTTTCATCTGTGACCTTTTATGCATTCATATACATTTCTTTGAAAAGCCAATCCAAGTGTATTATGTTACACAAAACATTAGGCAAATACATCAAAAGAAAGAATGACCATAATATACAATAGTTCTCCTTTTTAATTGAAAGTATATATTTTATCTCCAATTGATTCTTGTTCTTATTGCATGCTTTTAAACATCTTCCTCCAAATTATGGTGTAAAGGCGGTTCATAAAACAACTGCTTAGAATTGTTATATATCATATTATCTGGATACAAAAAGTAGTCATTATAGTCGAGATGAAAATTGATCTGGAGTATTTCCTAGTAACTTCCAAGGTGGCACAATATAAAGAATTTGCCGACAATGCAAGAGACATGGGTGATGGATTTTAATCCCTGGGTTGGGAAGATCCCCCAGAGGAGGAAATGACAACCCCCTCCAGGATGCTTGCGTGGACAATCACATGGACAGAAGAGATTGTCAGGCTACAGTCCACAGGATAATAGTTGGACAAAATTGAATAGCTGAGCATGTGCTAGTAAAGAATATAGTCCTTCTAAATTCAGTTCAGTTCAGTTCAGTCACTCAGTCATGTCCAACTCTTTGCAACCCCATGGACTGCAGCATGCCAGGCCTCCCTGTCCATTACCAACTTCTGGAGTTTACTCAAACTCAAGTTCCTTCAGCTGGTGATGCCATCCAACTATCTCATCCTCTGTCGTCCCCTTTTCCTCCAGCCTTCAATCTTTCCCAGCATCAAGGTCTTTTCAAGTGAGTCAGTTCTTCACATCAGGTGGCCAGTATTGGAGTTTCAGCTTCAGCATCAGTCCTTCCAATAAATATTCAGGACTTATTTCCTTTAGGATGGACTGGTTGGATCTCCTTGCAGTCCAAGGGACTCTCAAGAACTTCTCCAACATCACAGTTCAGAAGCACCAATTCTTCAGTGCTCAGCTTTCTCTATAGTTCAAATCTCACATCCATAGATGACTACCGGAAAAACCATAGCTTTGACTAGATAGACCTTTCTTGGCAAAGTAATGTCTCTGCTTTTTAACGTGCTGTCTAGGTTGGTCATAAGTTTTCTTCCAAGGATCTCCTTGGAATTTCATGGCTGCGGTCACCATCTGCAGTGATTTTGGAGCTGCTCAAAATAAAGTCTGCCACTGTTTACATCTATTTGGCATGAAGTATGGGACTGCATGCCATGATCTTAGTTTTCTGAATGTTGAGCTTTAAGCCAACTTTTTCACTCTTCTCTTTCACTTTCATCAAGAGGCTCTTTAGTTCTTCTTTGCTGTCTGCCATAAGTGTGGTGTCATCTGTGTATCTGAGATTATTGATATTTCTCCTGGCAATCTTAATTCCAGCTTGTACTTCATCCAGTCCAGTATTTCTCATGATGTATTCTGCATATAAGTTAAATAAGCAGGGTGACAATATACAGCCATGACTTACTCCTTTCCCAACTTGGAACCATTCTGTTCTTCCATGTCCAGTTCTAACTATTGCTTCTTCACCTGCATACAGATTTCTCAGGAGCAGGTCAGGTGGTCTG